TCTCTGATTGGACCATGCTGCGTCACATCGTCATCGCTGATCTAACTACTGTGTGTTGAGGCAATGATTGACTTGACTATGAACTTGGCGGAGGGATGGGTCATACTGCCAAAATGACATTAGCAGAAAGTAGAAGAGGGGTGGCTTCTTCAGGAAAATATGAAAATACATGTGTGCTTAACCTTCATTTGAATACCTGAAGGCATACAATTCTGGGGTTCCATATATTTTTTCAGGGATAGTAGCTAATGGTTATTGAGACCCGAAGCAGCTTCTTGCAGCCCAGGCCATGGATGGACAGTAGCAGGCTGGTAAGGTAGGGATTGGACTCTGAGCATGGGCTCTTGGGGTTTTGTCTGGTGGACAGACAGGCTGCCATGGTACAGTGGGGGCTGTAAGTGGAGGGGAGAGTGCTTCGGGCATAAGTTAGAGTCTCAAAGAATCTGTCTTTTGAATTCGGTGTGAAGAAGACTTATAAAACGTTAGAGATTGAGGTGACAAGCCGAGAAACACCAGGGATGTTTAACATCATCACTTGTAAGAGATTTCAAGAAGTTCATTTCTCAACATGGTCTAACATTTCAAATTTTTGTCAGGTAATTGGAAACCTGGTCCCGTGCTGTTTTAACACGTAGCTGAATGCAAACACTTGCATTATTGAAAGTCATTCTGCTCGGCAGTTACACAAATGACTACAAGTCACACCCCATCAATTTCTGCCAGGGCTTGTCAAATTCAATGACAGAATATCGGCGGTACATCACAACTTTAAAATCTCTAAACTATTTCAAATGTTTGTTTCAGCTGATTCCAGAAATCTCTTCCTTGACCTGGTTTACGACCATTGTGCCTTTGGTCCTGGTGGTAACGATGACAGCCGTCAAAGATGCCACAGATGACTATGTGAGTACTTGCTGTGAGCACTGCTGAGCTCTCCATTTCAACTGTGGCTGCTTGGTGATAGAAAATTGAGATCTACCATACGTTTTTGAATGTAGCTCTTTGGAATACTATGTATAGTATGATATGGAATAGTATAATAGTATAGTGTAGGGTGGTATCGTGTGTAAAAATTTAAAGCACAGTCTTGGAAAATTCCAACATTTTGGATACAAATTAGTTCTATCCTCACCCTCTATGATCATAGGTGCCTTAGACTCAATACATATTTATATATAAACGTTACTGTTTTTATTCTCAGGGGTTTCCTGTGAGTTTCATAATCATATTTCGTATTGCCTATATTTATTTAACACATCTGCTTTGAGTTGCAAACCAAGAAGGTCAGTAGTTCAAATCCACCAGCCAATCCCAGGGATAAAGATGAATCTGTCTGCTCCTGTAAAAATTTAAAG